TGAAAGCAGAGAAAAATGGGGAAATACTGAGAATGGGGGAAAAAACCCTGCAGAGTGAATTGCACAGTGCATATTTAATTATAGATCAATGGAATCTTTGCATAAATAAACCAGCCACAGTTCATGATCATATAGCACATGGTTTGTAGAGGTAAAGTAAACATGAGCATGCTGGCCATAATCACGTGCGCATTGTTATTCTCAAGGTAACAGACTCACGGATGCAGAGACGAAAATATACATTTAAAACCAACAATGATGTCAGCGTACTGTATGTGGATTGTTACATCCTTAATAACGACAGGTCAATAAAAGCCTGATTTAAAAAATAACAACCCTACGACATAAAGAATATGAAGAAGAAGTGATTGGCAGAACGAAGCAATACATGAAAACGAAATGAAAATGGTCCATACACGTATGAATTCATATGTAATGCCAATTCGAGTTTAACTGATATCATCCTTGTCTTTATGAAGTGCTCGTGTCGATTATGCATGGATGTTTGAGAACAGGGGTGACAGACTCACCACAGTGACCGGAGAAACCATCTTTGTCTGCGGGTGAACAGCCAGTGGACGGATGAACGGATAAGTCGTCGCTAACAGCGCACACGAAATGTGTTTTTGTCTTGTGTTTGCCACAGGCCATCATCAGTGGGAGGAGGGAGTAGGCGGAGCCTACGGGTGAACACAAGCCCTGTCCAATCGGAATGCGGGGAGGTGTTGACATTACAGCGAGCCTCAGCCAATGTGGCCGTGTGGGAGGAACATTTACATACAGCACACTCGGTGCCCGTTTAGTCATTTCGTCGCGTTTTTAATTCGTTTTATCGTCAACATCTATTTCTGATATATAATGCGAGTTCGATATAAATTCTAAATGTTAATAAAATGGTATTTAGATGCGTAAACATATAGCTGAGCTGTTTCTTGAATCTGTATCGACACCTTGTGGCAGCAATTAGTAATCAATATTGAGTCACTATACTCACTATTTTCCTAAAAAGTCGGTAAAAGTACCTTAAAGTACAAAGTGATGTCTTGGTATTGCAAGCTTTGTCTATAATAAATATTTAGAATGCGAAAGAAAAATAGGTGTGATTATTGAGGGGGTAATATTGTACTTGTGCTGGCCAGAATTGATCTATAGGTTTTATGTTTTAGCTATTATTTAGTCAAATCCATTATTTATTTATATGAATCGGGGTTATTATAGTTAACTAAAACTGAAACTAAAACCATTAAAAATTCGTCACTTGAAACCAAATAAACGTTAACTGAAATAAAATTAAATAAAATACAAAAACTTTTTTTAATGTTATTATTTCAGCTAGATGCCGAGGCAATAGTTCTCATTTTAATTCAGTTTAACTTGTGTACTAAAATAACTAAGGCTAAACGTGAATAAAAATGTGTGTGTGTGTATAAAATGTGTATATAATAACACCCACACACACACACACACACATATATATATATACTAAAAAAAAAAACTAATTCTGAATTATTTATAAGCCTTTTGAATTACGGGGACACTGAAAATGTCCTCATAAATCACCTTCTTGTTGTAATACCTATGTCATACTCATGTTATTATACACATTTGTGTCCTCATAAACCACATAACATGCACACACACACACACACACACAGACATATACACTCACACACATACACACACACATATGTATATACACACACACACACACACACACACACAGACATATATATATATACCAAGTAATATATTTTAATTTTTTTAAATCCCATTTGCAGTCTATAAAAAACGAAAAAGTAAAAAAAAAAGAAAGAACAAGTGAAAACCATGTGTCTTAACTGAGAAAGATACAACTCTACTTGTGTTATTATGCTTAGCAACCTATCTACTATTATCTGCATTATCTACTAAATATCTACAGTTTTAGGTCTTATGTAATGTGATTAAACGTTATGAAAGAAGATGGCGCAGAAGAAGAACACGCGTGTCTTATGCAACCGGAAGTGACGTGTGAACGAGCACCGGATGACGACGGGGGTTTGTAGTTGCTT